CAGTCTATCTAGGCTGTGCTATAAAGTTCTAAATCAATTTTTTCAAGTTCTTTACCTTGCCCCGTATGTCCAATATGTATACTCTGTGCCTACTTTTCGCCCTTAGACTAAGGAACGGTATTAATGTGAGTAAATTTTGCTGGCAGTAATTACTATTTACGTAATTACTTACGTACGTTTTTTCTTAAACAGATTACACAGACCTACAAGATTTTACCAACAATACGAATATACTTTCCAAAAGGATTTTGATGCGCTGAATTCAAATGGGAGGTCCAAATTTCTCAATTGACTCTGGTTTTCGAAATATCCTAACCTAAAAGTGTCAAAATTGCGATTCTTCGACATATTTGTTCGACATATAAGTTATACATGGAAAAGTCATTTTTTTGCCGAAACCATTAATGGGGTCTTAAACCTTATGGGTTTATGGGCTTAGGGTATTTGGGCTTAGTATTTATGAGTTCGGGATTGAGCGTATTAGACTCTTTTGCGTGCAAATGTATTTCCAAATTGATATAGTTCCTAAAATATTGGCCATATATAGAATTTTTAGACATTTTTTTAAGTTTATTGCAAAGTTTGACGTTCAAAATTTAGAGTTCAGATTCAAGATAAGTGACCCCAAAAACAAGTGAGGTCCCTACTTCCGGGTGCCGATGAATTTAGGTTTGTGGTGCTGTGTTGTGAGTATATTCAAAAATCATGGAGAAAAGAATCACACCCTTCATTTTCCGACATATGTTTTGAAACACCCATTTTGTACGAATAAATCTAAAGATACGAGGTCAGTAAACTTAAAAAGCTGCTTTCGAAAATGGATGTTGGGTGGACGTGGTGTATACACACTTTGCCAAGGCGTTGGACAAAGTGAACCATGATGTTTTATTGTCAAAGTTGTTATTCTCTGGTATGAGTGATCACTTTTTCAAGTTTTTAAAGTTATATTTACTAAGTAGAGATCACTACGTAATATAACGAGATGAAAGAATTTGCTTCTTGGAAGGTTCTGTATGTACTCTAAAGTTCCAATTTGGGTCCCCTTTTACTCGGTAATGTATTAATTGAAATAAATTGTACCAAACAATCTTAACGTTTCTAATGTAACTATAAGTTATATTGTGTTTCTTCAACAGTCCGTTGAACATTTATGTAATTTAAAAAGTTATATTTTCAACATTAACATTATATCAACCAAAACCAAACTATTTTAACGGTTTTTATCATATCTATAATGGTGTATTAATTAATTTAATTTATTAATTCGTAATAAACTTGAATTCGGATAGCAAATTTGGGGTCCTGGAGTTAAAAAAATTAATAAGTCAAATAGAAACTGCACAAAGTAAATTAATCAAATATTTGTTTGACGGAAAGTGTAAAACAAGGCAAGAATTCAGTTTATTTCTTACGGCCCGAATTGAATTGAATATTGCTAAGCTTAGAAGATCCTGATAATCCTGATCACCGCATACGTCCAAAAGAGAGGATTTTTTGCTTGGAAAAAAATAAAAGTCTATGTAATGTCCGAAGTTTTTTTACAAATACCAACAAGTTTCAAATGAAATTTTCAATATCAATGAAAAAGAACTTAAATTTTAATAAAAAGTAAGCTTTTCATCTTAAATTCTTGACTACATACATGGTTACAAGTTTTTAATTGTCCTATAGGTATCTTTCTTATTTTAAGAAATAGAGAAAAGGTTAAATGAGCAAAAATGTGCAGAATTTTATGATGATCACGGATCTGTTTTTAATTTTAAAAAATTCCGAATGGTTCCGAAAATATTCGAAGAAAACCGATTTTATGCTATTTCTATTTTTAGTTGTATTTCACTTGTTTNCCCGCGTGCGGGACATTATTTTGGCGCCCTTTATTAATGTACGAAATCCAGTTATAAAAAAATATATATTTTTTCATTTTATAATAAAACAACAGATTTTTTGTGTGAATATCAAGAACTGATTAGCTAACGCGTTTCGTTGTTTTAATTTATACCCCGTGAACTTCGAGTCCGAACTGCCAGTTCGAACTCGAACTGGAAAAATCCACCAAAATATGCAAGTCGGGACCAATTTTTACAGCTCGACAAGTTTTCACGTTTATAGACAAGCTTGGCGATTTACGAATACTGCATAATATTCGGATTTGGTTTAAAAAAATGCAATTCTTTATTTACAAAAAAATGTTAAATATTAATAAAAATTTAAGATAAGGGTTTAATTGTTAATAAACGATTTTATTTAATATCGCTCGACCAGTATAGTTGTTTATTGTTTGTTTTTAATCTTGCAATAGCTTTTTAAACTACTTCTACTCAACCGATTCTTACAAAACTTTCCGCACATATTTTAGGTTTCCAAGAAAATATTATACGGGGGTGACAGCTGCCCTTAAAAATTTTAAATTAAAAGGAGATCAAGTGATACCTCGTTTTAAAAAAAAACTAAGAACCAAAAAATAGAAAGTATAGGTAAAAATATTTCTGAGATATCCTGACCTCTGGAACATTTAACAATTAAAAATAAAAACGTGGGGGGCANAAAAGTTGTTTTAATTTAACCGTGTCAGAGGTCAGGGAGCACCAATGCCCCTAATATTGCAAATATATTAACTGCTAATTAATATTTGGTATAAAAAATTTAAATATGCATGTTGCATTACATTTTTAACTACCTACAGTATTTTGAAAATATTGATTAAATTAATTTATGCTTATTATCACTTTTAGTATAGGGTGTCTCAAAGAAAATCTTTCATTCCATTATAATTTTTAAGCAATATTGCTAGTAATTTTAATTTGGACATAACTACTAAATATAATCGTTTTTAATTAGTATTTTATGATGCTGCATGATAGTAGGTTGTAGAAAAACTAACTATTTTAAATATCACACAATCACATGTCGTATTAAAGGATAAATGAACANAACACCCATTTTGTACGAATAAATCTAAAGATACGAGGTCAGTAAACTTAAAAAGCTGCTTTCGAAAATGGATGTTGGGTGGACGTGGTGTATACACACTTTGCCAAGGCGTTGGACAAAGTGAACCATGATGTTTTATTGTCAAAGTTGTTATTCTCTGGTATGAGTGATCACTTTTTCAAGTTTTTAAAGTTATATTTACTAGGTAGAAATCACTACGTAATATAACGAGATGAAAGAATTTGCTTCTTGGAAGGTTCTGTATGTACTCTAAAGTTCCAATTTGGGTCCCCTTTTACTCGGTAATGTATTAATTGAAATAAATTGTACCAAACAATCTTAACGTTTCTAATGTAACTATAAGTTATATTGTGTTTCTTCAACAGTCCGTTGAACATTTATGTAATTTAAAAAGTTATATTTTCAACATTAACATTATATCAACCAAAACCAAACTATTTTAACGGTTTTTATCATATCTATAATGGTGTATTAATTAATTTAATTTATTAATTCGTAATAAACTTGAATTCGGATAGCAAATTTGGGGTCCTGGAGTTAAAAAAATTAATAAGTCAAATAGAAACTGCACAAAGTAAATTAATCAAATATTTGTTTGACGGAAAGTGTAAAACAAGGCAAGAATTCAGTTTATTTCTTACGGCCCGAATTGAATTGAATATTGCTAAGCTTAGAAGATCCTGATAATCCTGATCACCGCATACGTCCAAAAGAGAGGATTTTTTGCTTGGAAAAAAATAAAAGTCTATGTAATGTCCGAAGTTTTTTTACAAATACCAACAAGTTTCAAATGAAATTTTCAATATCAATGAAAAAGAACTTAAATTTTAATAAAGAGTAAGCTTTTCATCTTAAATTCTTGACTACATACATGGTTACAAGTTTTTAATTGTCCTATAGGTATCTTTCTTATTTTAAGAAATAGAGAAAAGGTTAAATGAGCAAAAATGTGCAGAATTTTATGATGATCACGGATCTGTTTTTAATTTTAAAAAATTCCGAATGGTTCCGAAAATATTCGAAGAAAACCGATTTTATGCTATTTCTATTTTTAGTTGTATTTCACTTGTTTTTCAAAATTTTAGGACAAAAGTGTCTAATATTAAATGATGATGAGGAATCGATTTTTGCTGTCAGTATTAATATACTATACACTAAATATGTGTGCTGAGTGGTAGTTAAGTTTTGTTTTTGTTATGGACGCCATATTGAATATTTGCCTCATTAGAAGAATGGAGAAATTGTCTGCAACGATGTATAATTTATGGGGTTTTCATAAATAAATAACGAAGATACTGAATATAATTGTAATTTTAATAAAAAAAATCAAGTAGCCATGTAGCCTTAAGAAAGAAAGATACCTGTGTAGGATAATAATTAAAAAGTTGTAACCCTGCATAATGTATTATCCTTATTCTTTTAAAATGACTAAGTGAAAACGATGTACATAATACGTATTTTTTGTATGAGATTATTAATAAATACATAATTAAATAATGTAGATACTAACTAAAAGTTTCCTCGAACTCATCCTCAAGGCCACCACATTAAGAAGGTTACATTCATCTGATTTATGTCCACTTGAACCTTATTGAGAACCACAACACGAAATACTTATCTTTATTACAGTCAACCCGTTCTCTAGATTTTAGTTCTCCATTTTTTTCCAGTAAGTAACGACTACTCTTTAGCGATATGACATGTTTAGTAGCAAATTAATTACGCCAATTAGCCAGTGCGAGTTTTTCCACCAGGACGGCACTGACCAATGCTCTTTGAGGCAAATCTCCGATTTATTGCAAAGGAATTCGTAATATATGTAGATTATAACAAGGCGCGACAATGTAAAATGAAGTCGAGTGGAAATATTACACAGAAATACTATCGTAAATTCATGAAAAATCTCTCTCGAACTTAACACACGTTTCACGCATCATCCGATGACGATCACTAATAGTGTTTTTGTAATATTCACATACGTTGTTCTAAGGGTTATTTTTAGAATTACAGTTAATGTTAAACATTTTCTTTAACAGTTATTATTTTAGGTCCATTCTCCAGCAACACATGCAGATTCATACAGGAAAACTGTGCAAGTGTCCTAAATTTGGGTGTGTGTACACTGCCAGAAAAATGAGTGAGATCAAGGAACATCTCAAGACCCACTCTGATGTTAAAAATTTCGCCTGTGACTTATGCGAATACAAGGGCAAAACCAAGCAGCAACTAAATCGGCAAGTAATTTTTTTTATTTTACTTTTCCCATATGTATGACTACTAACTAGGCTTAAATTCAATTAGTTGTATTTAAAAGAGCAAAAAGAAAATACAATTCTGATGGACTAGAAACATTTACGTGTAAGTGGTACTAAGTTTATTAAGTTTTAACAACCAACAACTATTTATACAAAAATATGAAGATACTGCTACCACTATCTAATTTATAGGTAAGGAATCAGCGACGTAATATATGCAAAGTGTGTTTTATCTTCACCATAACAAACAAGAGTATAAATTCAAGCCCACACTATGAAACGTACCATTAAGTCATTTGGAATATTTAGTACAAACAAATTAATTATGTTTCGATGGTATAATCAACCAAAACAGCGCAGTACGAAATGACGTTGATTAAAAGCCAATTAGAAGAACTGTATTTGGAAGAGTAATAAATCTTCTTATAAAAATAAAAATATGTATTTGTATACAGATAGATATTTATAATCTGCGATTATAGGTCCTAAAATTGACCAATTATTGATTAAAACACGTGAGCATCTAAAAAATATCCATATGACTCATTTGGTGAAATATACAATTTAAAAAATTAACACTGAGACTGAAAGTTAAGCGACGCCACACATTCGAAATAACAAAATTATTAGCAACGAATTGACGGAAAAATCTAGATTAAACTACAAAACCAAACAAAATGTATTCAGGTCTACAGAACATGTTCTTGTATATGTTTTATATAATTTTTGTCATAGCTAAGCTAAGGTCCGGATGTGAATCGTACATTCCAGGTTCGTACTTTATTTTCTCAACAGAGTGAAAAGCTTCCCGCAGAAACGCAATTTTAAACGCAAAAACAAGTAATGAAAAACCTGATACGTTTAGTAGACCAGGGCAGATCTGTTTTGAGGTGGATGTGAGAGGAGACAAGCAATTTTTTTCTGGATTACCTTCAGTACAACTCACATAATAAAAGTGTAGATCCCTAGGTCTTAGGCGAGGTCCGGAACATTTTCAAAATTGCAAAAAAAAATTAAAATACCATTTATCTGAGTTTTTTACTAATATCTTGGAACCTAAGCGTTTAGGAAGAATAGTGAAAAGAAAAAAGTTTTAGAATTGAATTTTGCACAATATATTGTAAGTTAAAAATGTTTAAATTTATTACCGATATTGCAAAATAGCAATAATTGATGAAAAAAAGGAAAAAGAAAGTTTTTTAGATATATTTTTTTAAATATTTTAATTGCTCCGAGGGCATTCTAATTTTGGTAAAAAAAACTTTAGAGTATGATAAAACAACACACATAAAAATAATTGTTTAATTCAATGCAGTAAAATTTAAACTAAACAAATAATATCTTCCCATATCCGCAATGCAAACATGTATTTGAACAAAGAATATTATTTCTTTAAAATATTTATTTCAATTAAATAATAAACGCTTCACATGAAAAATATTTATGTATTGAAATAATGTAGTACATATTGTTGACTCAAATTTTTCATTGGTTTAGAGAAAACATTTGTAATTTTATTTTAAAAATACTATAAAATTAATATAACATTACATTTGTTCTAACAAAACAAAATATATGTTTGAAAGAAAATTATTGTTTTTTAAATATAAATAAATGGTTTTATTTGATATGAGACTATAACTTTCCTGAATTAAATAAAATANCGAGTGATCTCATGACTAATCTGATTAGTTGAACCAAATCAGGTAATGTAAATTCACACTTTTATTTGTATATTTACATCAAATATAGTAAAAATACATAAATAAGAATTTTAAAATGTAAAAATGCAACGTAAAAGGTAAAAATTCATCGCAAAAAGAGAATATACGCACTCAAACCTGTAATTCTACACAATTTATCATGTAGGTTCACTTCATTTACATTTTTTGTGTATACAAACCATTACAAATATAGGGTGTCCCATGGTGACGTCAATTTTTAGGTGAACTCTCATAAAGGTTTCCTATTCTTAAAGTTAACCGTTTTTGATATATTTAATTTATTAAAAAAACACTGCCTAATTCAAAAAGATGTGTATTTTACAATAATAAAGTTAGAGCGATAAAACTTATAGGGGACATAACTAAAACTCTAAGCTTCCCCGCCATAATTTCAAAATGACTTAATTTCATACAGGGTGGTAGAAATTTAATGCCGAATTTGGTCAACTTTAAACCATCAACATCTTTTTAAATGGAACACCCTGTATACTTTTACACGATAACTTTAGATGAAAGTAACACGATAAATGGTTTGGTATGTTTTCATGCTTACCTTGAATCATCGGTTCGTGCTGCTAAACAGGATTTAGGCATTTCAAAAACCTCCATCCAAAAGATTTTGAGAACAGATGGTCAGCATCCATTTAAATTCAATTTTGTGCCTGCACTTTATCGCGGGGATGCTGAAAGACCTACCCAATTCTTCTTTTTGAATTAGGCAGTGCTTTTTTAATTTTTTCTGAAAAAAAAAAATATGTATATCAAAAACGGTTAACTTTAAGAATAATAAAACTTTATGAACGTTCACCTAAAAATTGTCGTAGAATCCAAAATTGTAATAATATACAGGGTGTTTCATTTAAAATAACGAAGATAACATCAACTTCCGGTATAACCGGAAGTGGTACGTGGACGCCATTATTTTAGATGAGAAGGGCATGCCCGAAAACCCGGTATCCCAAATTATCAAAATTAAAATCAAAGTAGTCTGAAATATTTCTAATGTCTCGTCACCGTGGGACACCCTGTATAGTGAAAATACAAACAATAAGAGGAGTAGTATATTTTACAATGTGAGAAAATATGCAAAAAAGCCAGGGAAGGGACGAAATAACGTTGAAAAGTGCCACTTTTAATTTTACTTCAAAAAATCCCGTTTCTCGGTGTACCTGACGGAAAACTAATTCCATAATTTTCAGATTGGGTGTGTATAATTCGTCGAAATTATTCTCTGGCTCGCTTCCGAATATTGTTAGATACATTCAAATGAGTCTCTTTCAGCGGCATCCAATCTGTTTCGAAATTCGTGCAGAACGGCATCAAATCTGCCGTTAATTAGCAGTTCATCATACCGTTGAAATTTGGCAAATAAATTATGTTTTACAATAATTTATCGGTGTAATAATTTTGCATCAATTGATTGTACCTGACATTAAAATTTATTTCAATAAACGCACAATTAGATTTAAAATTCATTTTGTTATTATTACTGACATAAAAAGTGCTATAAATATTTATTAGCCTTGTGACATACTATATTTTACTAACGACCAATTAATGCATTAATCGATTTCTAGTGCACCGGCAATTATATGCTACGCGATATCGAAAAATTCGAAATAATTCGGTTATTAAACATTAATTTCGTATCTAAATATAATATAATTATAATAAAATCATAATAATATATAAACTGATTAAGTTAAATTATTTACAGAGCGCAAATAGCAATTTGTTATATAAACGTTTTGTATTGGAAAATAAAACAGTACAAAAATATCAAAATTACGGAAATTTGCATTATAATATATATTTTTTAATATCATTTAAATGAACTGACTGAATGAACTATAATACGTTGTATGGATTGTTTTCAATTTTTTGTATGCTTTCTCAGCCACCAGCAATGTTGTCAAATCTCATCTTTTTTTATTCGTATAATAACTTTTCATATCCCACTGAAACAAAACAGTGAAGACGCACAAACATACCGCACCGTCACTTAACAGTAAAGCAAATAACTTTATAAGTTTAAATGTTAAAAATTGAATGTTCCATGTTCTCGCAATTTTCGTACAAAATTCATAAATTCAGTAGTCAATGATCTGTCTTCAAATCCTAAAAGATTTTGGTTTCATATTAATTCAAGACCAACATGGATTTATGAGTGGTCGTTCAAACTACCTCAAATCTAGTTGAGAAAACCCAATTTATTGCTGAAGATTTTGATGGAGGAAGTCAGGATGATGTTGTGTATACCTTGATCATAATTATCGACATTAAAATTGGGGTCATATGGTATATCCCCTGCTCTGTTAAATCTTATTTTAGTAATAGGTACCAATTTGTGCAGTATCGTGGCTTTCAATCATGTAAATTCCATCAATATTCAGGAGTTCCGCAAAGGTCAATCTTGGGGGCCACTGTTGTTTGTTATTTTTATTAATGCCTAACTGAATGCCTCGATGTCAACTATTTACTTTATGTGGACGACCTGAAGTTGTTCTTGGAAATTAAATCTTCTACTGATTGTACTAGATTATTACAAGATAATCTTGACAGATTACACAGTTGGTGTTCATGTAATAATCTACCTCTGAATGTAAGCAAATTTAAAACTATGTCTTACAGTCGACGCAAAACTAATCTAGATTTGGATTATAAAATTGGTTAATTTTTTTTAAGTAGTAGTAGTAGTAATAATATATATATAATTTTTTACAATATACTAAGTTAAAAGTGTTTAAGTTTATTACCGATGTTGCAAAATTGCAATAATAATGAAAAAATAGGCACAATATCAAGTTTTTTGGATAATTTTGTTAAATTATTGCTCCTGGGGCATTCTAATTTTGGTAAACAAATCTTTGGAGTATAATAAAACAATACACAAATTTCATTGAAATCGGTTCGATAGTTTTCGCAAAATAATTTTTTGAAAAAAATTTTGAAAAAAAAATTTCGAATTTTCAAAATGTTGCACAGCCTCAAATAAAGCATCTAGACACTTGAAAATTTTTTCATATAGAAAAGACCGCTCAACCTTTCAAATGGTTTTTGAAAAATTGAAATCGGTTGATTAGGACGGCCACAGTGAATTTTTAGATTTAACACTTTTTTTTTTACTTTTAAACAATTAGATTACATTTATCAATTTGCAATTTAGTTTTTTCAAAAATTATAATTTTAAAGTAATATTTTTTCTTAATTTTATCTGTATTTAACAAAAAAAAATATTTCCAAATTAAAAAAAATATTTGTTTAAACAAAAATTATTTAAATAATTGTAAAAATTATAACTAAATATATTCATATTCAAAATGTTAAAATATACCTATACGTAAACAAATTAAAAAAAAATGTCTTAAAATAATTATACACATTATTATTATTATTTGATATAATTAAAAAAAAAAGAATTTGTTTGAATTAGCTTAATAGAATAGACTAATCTGTTTGAGACCAAAACAATGTCAATGTCTAATAGTTGGCCATAACTTCAAAACAAATGACAGTGAAATTTTTATCTTTCTTGCCTTCCTGGTCATGCGGTTTGTCGAATCCTGTATTCTAAAAAGCGTCGGACCCATCAAGAATTTGTTAATCGAACAATTAAAACATTCTCAAATAATTAAGTATCGACGTTTCCACGTAAATGTATGCCTACCAGGCCCCTTTATCTTCATCAGTTAGAATAAACATTGGAGGAGATGTACGGCATCTGCGGTAATTTAAACTTGCCCAACGCAGAAGAACCGTTTAATAGTTATCGAGATCCCGACGGTGGGTCAGGAAAGTAGCCGCCATAAATCCAAACTTTCTTCATTCTTCATTAAAAAACAAATGATAATTAGGCGGTCATTAGAATATTTATTACCGAGTTTCGACGCTTAAGTTATTTTTGAAGGAAATGAAAGGATCGGAATGTCACGGAGACATTTGTGGATAGTCCCAATAAAATTTGTGGGTTATATTCATGGACGACTCAAAAATAATAAAAGTTGTTTTGATTTAACCGTGTCAGAGGTCAGGGAGCACCAATGCCCCTAATATTGCAAATATATTAACTGCTAATTAATATTTGGTATAAAAAATTTAAATATGCATGTTGCATTACATTTTTAACTACTAACTAGTATTTTATGATGCTGCATGATAGTAGGTTGTAGAAAAACTAACTATTTTAAATATCACACAATCACATGTCGTATTAAAGGATAAATGAACAGTTTAATGAAAGAACCGCTAAGTTCATTTTCTAAAAATTGTTAGAGTATTACGAAGACTATTAAATAACAGTTAAACTAAGAACTAAACCAAAATTAAAATACTTATTTGATTTATTTTTATTAATTTTGTAATTATGCCAATTGTCTATTACATATTTATAACAATACAACAATTTTACGTACAATTAGTTTTTTTTTAATTTTTGAAATGTTGATGTGTTACATCATATTCCTATTGAAAATGTAGAGATTATCAAAACGACTTCCATATAGTTAAAGCTAGAGCAAAACTATATAAAATCTTATTTCAGCAAGAAAAATAGATATACGGGGTATTCACAAACTTGGAGAGAAATTACTTCATTGTACATTCATTGTTCACTAATAATTTTGTTTGAAACTTATACAATAAAAGACACAAGTTCCGTTATGAAAAATGGAATCTATATCTTAAAATAACCTAGTATAGTAAAATAGAACCTATGATGACCTAAAATTAAACTAGCAATCTTTCTGGGGACAAAGAAAGTGTGCGGAACGCTATCTACGGTGGCAACCAATCGCCTATTTTTATGTAGGAGTCGATTCCAGAGGTTCTTAATAGGTTTTTAACAATTTTAATTATTGTTAATTTTAAGCACCGTTTTGTAGTTTCAAAGATTTTGATTAGTGAAAATGTTTATTATTGATGCATCCTACTTACTACTGAAATCCTCTCCAAGATTCTAGATTTATCTAATTTTAGCTGCCAAGATACGTCCATTACCACCTAAAATCGTTAAATATTTAAAAATTCAAATGATTCTTGCGCTAACATGTCCCAAATATTATTACATCCTAGCGTAGAAAAGTTAATTTTATTTAAAAAAGTGGATTTTGGCGGTGTTTGCACCTATGTCTTTAATTGTGTATTGCATTATTTCAGACACCTGACAATTCACGACGACATCAAGAAATACCATTGCCCACAATGCCCATTTACCACAAGAACCTCGACTCACCTAAGAAGACACGCGAGACTGCATACAGGAGCAAAACCTTTCAGTTGTCCATACTGTAACTACAAATGTAACAATCTGGTGAGTTATTATTTACAACACTTTTTAAGACATAATAGACAAACCGTCTCCAAATATACATTTAAGTGCATCTGGTGTTTCTAAAATACGTGGACCTAGTATATAATTGATCTGATTGAACACGTTAAAAATACTGAGTGAAATTATAGTCTATTTTCACTTAATGTTGAGCATTTTAACAATAATTTATAATATTTCAACTAAAACTGATTTATATAACTCAAATTTAGGTATCAGTTAAAAAAGTGCCATAAATAAACTCATGTTACTTACATTAGTACACTTGTAGCAGAGTAGTAAATGTCGCCCCCACTCCCCACCCAATTTAATAATAATAATTTATTATTCCCATTGTCCCATCACAATGTAATCTCGTATAGTGTCTGGATAAGTTCACGTGTATAAGATTACTATAAATTATCTGTTATCCTGGTGAAAACTGTGTTTAATACAATGATTATACAATTACAATAATAATTAAAAACTAATAATTAAATACTATCGAATATTGATCTCGATTAAAATTCCTTCCAGGATCAAATTAGGATAAACTTATAGACCACATTTTTTAAATTGGGAAACAATAGGTTTGATTAAATATTTTCATAGTTTTGAAATTCAAAAGACTAGTTATAAGTACAAACATTTTTTTTAAATTATACTATTATCTATATAGGGTGTCCCACCACGAACTCCATCGATGGATATCTGGGAAATCGCTCGAAGAATTTTTTTGAAATTGTGCTGGTGTGATATGGACCGTGGGGCCTCCCAAACTAAAATATTTTTAAGGTCATCGTACTTCCGGTTATACCGAAAGTGGATACTAACTTTCTTATTTTAAATGGAACCCCCTGTATATTATTACATTTTTGGAAAGAGCATTTATTTTTAAGTTGAAAACATAGCACTCTCCATAATTTTGATTTTCAAACAAAAATTGACAGTTGCAGACTATCAGCAAAATTTAGTTTTCCCGGAAATATAGGTTTATTTTTTATGCAAATTGGATTTTGTAGAGGAAGACCTATTTTATCGAATTTGACATGAAAATTTTCCAGTTTTTATACAGGGTGGTAAAATTTTTTTTATCGAATAATGAAGTTCAGAAAATGTGGAAAACTCGAAATTTTTAAATGGGAACCCCTCATTTTTTTAACGTATTCGCATTCTGCACTAAATTTATTTTAATAAATGTTCAATATGTCTTCCTTCAACTTCTTAACTTATAAACATTTTTCTCACCTTCGGATTAGTTCCTTGTGGGTCGCTGCTCTAATAGAATTCGATGGTAAATGCTCAAATACTTGCCTTACAATGTTCCTTTGTTGTTACTGGAGTACTATAAACACAATTTTTTAGTGTCCCAAATAAAATAGCATATATCACCGGATTCTATTAGAGCACCGACCCACAAGGAACTAAATAAATTTGACAATTAAAACGTGACAGTTGTCATGTTGATTGTTACTTATGTGTCACGGCCAACCTAAAATGTGCGAAAGAAATGGAAACATAATTTTAAGAAACTTTGACAAACTTACACTTAATTTTAGTGCAGAATGCGAATACGTTAAAAAATTAGGGGTTTCCATTTAAAAATTTTGAATTTTCCACATTTTCTGAACTTCATATGCGATAAAAAAAATTTGACCACCCTGTATAAAAACTGCAAAATTTTCATGTCAAATTCGATAATTAGGTCTTCCTTTACAAAATTTCCAATTTCCAAAAATAAACCTATGTTTTTGGGAAAACTAAATTTTGCTGACAATTTGCATGTGTCAATTTTTGATTAAAAATCAAAATATCTCGGAAACGGTCAATCCGTATGGAGTGTGCTATATGATTTCAACTTAAACATAGATGCTTTTTCCAAAAATGCAATAATATACAGGGAGTTCCATTTAAAATAAGAAAGTTAGTATCGACTTCCGGTATAACCGGAAGTACGATAACCTTGGAAATATTTTAGCTTTGTAGGCCCCACGATCCGTATTACACCATCACAATTTCAAAAAAATTCTTCGAGCGGTCTCCCAGATATCCATCGATGGAGTTCGTGGTGGGACACCCTGTATAGTTCTGTACCGAGTCTGGATATGTTAAATTCATTGAACTGTTTTCTCTAAACAACATGTTTATGAATTCGAATTTTTACTGAATTTTTGGTTAGCCAGCATTTTAGTTTATCTATTTCAATATTTATTTAGATATATAATTTTTACAGTATTGTTAAAATGCGACTAATATTACATTTGCTATAGATTAAATGCAAATAATAAGCGAAAATTAAGCACATTATCTGTTATCAGAAAAAATGAAATATACACGATGTTCAGGAAATAATGCGCAATCTCTCGGATTTCTGGGATAACCTGTATAGTGCTTAATTAATTGCAGCACCCTGTATATACAAGTAAATTGTTTATGAGTGATATTTTTTCACTAGATCAATTAGAAACTAAGTCTGAGCAAAATATTGCCCAATGATAGTTAAATTTAAACTCTTAATTATTGTTCTTACATGCTGAGAATAAAGTAAAAAATCACTAATTGGATAGCTAGCAGAAACTCGGATTAAAGTAAAATCACTCACTTTTGCAATACTTGGATCAAAATATTCAATTTATATCAACTTACACGTATATTAAAGTCAATGCCTACTAATGTGGTACCACGAAAAATATTTTTTCATATAACTTTAATACAGTTTAAGAGATTTTAAGAGATAGAGAAATTTTTTTTTATACCAAAATTATAAAAAATGTAAGAAATATGAAAGATACAGGCAACATGTAGTACATCTCATGAAAGAGGAAAAAACAAGCAAATTTTTGTAGCCGTAGCACTTCGATGACAAGCACAGCCAATTATATACGATATTTTAAAAATCTGTTTGCACTAGGTGAAAGATATCAATTTTGCCATGAAATTTTATTAAAATAAGTTTTCTCTTTCTCTTAAAATAAAAAAGTTAGACGGCCCTAAACTTTCGGTACTTTTTATGATTTCTCATAAAGTTGGCCATGGATCTCAAATTTGTTTTTACGAGCATAAAGGCCTCAAAAAATGCAACAAAAAACATATTTTAAAGATTTTTAACGTGCGTTGTATATTAACAGCCTGTATGTTACTAGAATACGTTAGTAACAGGGTTATATGGTACTTTACTTATTAAAGTAGTATGAACCTCATTGAGAGCGCTATGTCTCACTACATTTGTCTAAAATTGTGTTTTTTTTATTCCCTGTATTTTTTTTAATAAATTTGCGAAAATTTTCTCTGAAGTTAATATTAACGAAATTACAAGTATCATAATACCCTGTAGAATACCTATTAATTCTCCACTCGCGAAAACGGCACTGTTCTGAGCTGGACTGCCAAACTTTCCGAAACTGCAATGCAAAAACTCGTTAAACATTCACAATTTCCATTTCGCAGGAGAACTTGCGAAAGCACGTCCTGTCCACGAACAAACATCCGGGAAAATGCATTTATGAGTGCAAATTCTGCTCGAAGGACCATTTCCAGAGCAACTTCGCCAAGGACTTTAAGGCCCATTTGATCACGCAACACTCCGGGATGTTCGGAAACGGCGCCGAGGCGGCCACCTACGTGGCAGGCATCTACGAGGTGCAGGACGACAGCACTTACCTGAGCGATATAGATATGGATCGGACCGGCGAGGGGTAAGAATCTTATGTCGATGTCGAAAAAGTTGTGTAACGAACTTCGGAGGCTGGTTTTACTTGTCAAAATTAAAGAAAAAATTATTATGGTGCATGATACTCTCTAAAATGTGTTTACAGCTCCATTAAGGGTAATTAAGAATGATAATAGTTATTTCGCCACAGTTAAAAAAATACATTAATGAAATTTTTGAAACCCATTTCAAATATCATCTCATCCTTAAGTAAAATTCGGTAATGCTGAAATAAACGATTCGCATGCGTAAGAGGTGTTTTTCATAGTAAGTTTTTTCAACTATTGCAAATTCTCCTTGAAATAGTAGTCAATAATTGATATTTGTTGCAATTTCAAAATAGCATATCACTATAGAAAACTTCAAAAATATAGAATAGATTTGTCGAATTTGTATAGATGTTTCCTAAAGTGATATTGCCCCTTTATTTGTAAGTCCCGTCACTTTTCTGAGCCGAATTTTATTCAAGCTCAGAAACTCATTCGTTCTTTTCTGCAAAATATTCCATAAGTTCCTTCGCAAGGCTTTGCCATGGCCTTAAAGCCCAGTATTTATTATGTTCTGATTCAGTCCATTTGCCCAGAGCCCCACACTAAGAGATCTACCACCAAAGGGCTCCCGACCAATGAACTGATGACTAATTACTGATCCTGCTACACTGACTAACGTTATCATTTTTGTCACCTAAAAGAATAAGTGGTTCTGTTAAAACTTTAATTCTTGCATCTAGGTCTTATAATCGTTGTTCTTTTTTTTTGTCCATACACTTACTCCATGTACCCGCAGTTACCCTGTTAATCTCCTGCAGAAGTACTTTTACATTTCCTAATTTAGAAGTTGTGTTATATTGTGCCATATACAGGGTGGTCCCGAGATAATGGGCCAAAATTAATGGGTACATACCCGAAGCAAAAATATTGCGATTTAGCCGAACTTATCTTAGTCCAAAAGTTGATAGTTAAAGAGTGTTAAATGTAAAATATTATTTTAGTTTATTTCCATTTATTTCTTAATAAATGCAAATATCTACCCAAAATTTTGGGGTTTGGGGTTCTTTGGATAGAGGACTTGAAATTTGTTCACATTTTGGTTATAGTTCATAGAGGGCGCCAGCTGCCGTAGATTGAAGGTGTTGGAAACGACATAACTTTTTTGTACTTAAAGGTATCTCATCTTTGGTATCAAATTCTTATTTTCCAACTTTTTTACACAAAAAGGTAGACTTTATGAAAGTGGCTGTCTCGCACCGTTTCCGAGATATTTGGTTTTGAAACTTCCAATGCTAATAGTTTTGACAATAATTGCTCAAAATGTTCGCCTCTAACTTCAATACATTTATGAACGCGCTTATTAAAATATTGTCTTATTTTAAAGTATAAATTCTTAATGCGAAATGACTTTGCAGCATTTAAATATACGAGTATACAATTTAATATGCAAGCTAAGATGTAATTTTAATTAGATACGAATAATACTTGATAGAAATTAGCATACAAATGACAGCAGTAAGACAAGTGAAAGAAGTCAATTATTTGATTTTCGTCCAAACCCTACTTAAGAAACTTTACGGCTAAATTAATAATACCTGTAGGTACTTAATTGTAATTTAATGCAACAGCATTGGAAGTTTCAAAGTCAAATATCTCGAAAACGTATACCTTTTTTTTGCAAAAAAAGTTGAAAAATAAGAATTTGTTACCGAAGATGAGATACCTTAAAGTACAAAAAAGTTATGTCGTTTTTGACACATTCAATCTACTGCAGCTAGCGCCCTCTATGAACTTTAACCAAAATGTGAACAGATTGCAATTCCTCTACTCAAAGAACTCCAATCCCCAAAATTTTGTGAGGATATTTGCATTTGTTAAGGAATAAATTAAAAAAAACTGAAATAATATTTTACATTTAACACCCTGTATCTCTTTATCTATCAACTTTTGGACTAAGGTAAGTTCGGTTAAATCGCAATAATTTTACTTGGGGAATCTACCCATGAATTTTGGCCCATTACCTCGGGACCACCCTGTATATGTTTTCTATTTTAATGGGATTCAGTTCACAGTGGTACGGTAGCAATTGAAGAAGTATAACACCACTATCTTTAACCATTTCATCTATTACATATTTCATGTTTTTTGTCTTTTCTTTTTGTACAGTTGCTAATAATTGCACCCTTAACATCATATTATTTTCAATATAGGTATTTACGACTCAGCTATTCCTTTTTTCTTTTCGCCATGCAGATAAGAGTAACTTTTCTGTTCGTCGGCTATGGTAAGGCGCATCATCCATGACAGTAACTATACCAGCTTCCATGTGAGGCAAAATAGATGCAAACCATTTTTCGAATACCCCACTGTCCACATCTTCTTGACAACCTCCTGTTCATCGCGACTCGAACACATGTAAACCATTATCCAAAACTCCGCATTCACTTTCGATATGCGTACTTATTAATCGTCATCCTTCCCCAGAGAGTGCCTTTAATCCCATATAAAATCTTTAAAAAAATACTTCTCGTTTGCCGTTGGCATTTAAATTTTGACAAACCTTAAAGACCATATTATGTGCTTCATTTATCCATGTTTTGGAAGATAATAAACTTTCAATTTCGGTATACGACACTGTTATTTTTAATATTCTTTTCGCCTTACTATAATTTTGTTCTTTTCTGTTGGCATACTTTTTCGATTTAGCAACAAAATTCATTTCATGCATAGTAGGCAGGATGACTTTTCAGGGCAGTCTAGGCAAATTGTCGTCTTCTGCGATTACAGTTTGAATGTTTTTAATGTTGGAAGTCCATTTTTAGAATAAAATCCTTTAATCTTTCTACGGATTGTATATTTAACATCACTGTCAATTTCAATTTTTTTCCTGCCACGTATTTCAGTTTGTTGCATTTTTACATTTGCACCACTTTTTAACACACGATAAACACCTCTCACAGACACTTTTGTTAAAGAACTGAACATTTCCACGGCATCACTCACCGACATATCTGGCTATCGTGCTCGAATTCCTTATACAAATTATTTATGATCCAACGTTCGTTATTTGTTAAATATGGTCGTTTACGACTACCCTTATTATCATATTGGCCACTAACGCCCTCGCACGATTCAGTTTTTTATAACATTTATTGTAATTACAAAAGCGTGAAAGTAACAACACATATTTCGTACTTGTACGCCTATGACACGCATTCACAAGAAAAGCTGGAAACAGAAATAGGGTGGGATTTCAAGAAGTCAAATATAGGAACTTTTTCTCTTTTTCGACGAGTATTACCAGTGCTCGAAATTAGTAAAAAAAAATTAAATAGGTGAATAAACTACTAAGAACGAAGCTATCTTTTGAAAAACTTGCTTTTCGTTTAGGTTTTGCACTTCATTGCATTAAAAACAGTGTGCCTTTCCCTTATATTAAAATGTATGTATGTATGTATGTATGTATGTATGTATGTCGGAGGGTGGCACTTAGGCCTTATTAGGCCCCTTGTACACCCTCCTTCACTACTCGAGTACTTTTCTTCAAACCATCTTATTTACTACTCGGATGGCTTGGTGGAAAAGTCTCGTACAGTTTATGTATGATAGCATGGTCTTGAGTTACAGAGATTTCTTGCTTTGTTCTGATTACCATTTATCGGGGACCACACGCGTGCGGAAAATGTTGGGCGACCCAGGTCTCTTGGTAGGCTGCCACAGCCACGTCCCCGAGCCTGCCTTAGGTCACCCATCCAAATTCCAGCCCACGTCCGTGATGCTTGACTCGGCAGATCGAAATCCGCCGGCCAATACACCCGGCTAGGCGGTTCCCATATTAAAATGTATATCCTTGCTATAAAATACATAATCTTTTTCAGAAATATCCACTCTCAAACCTCCAAGATGGACGACCATCACGAAAATATTCTAAACCTGAAAACTGATGATGATCCTATAGTGTCCGAGATATCGATACGTTCCATAGACCACACGACCAAGAACAGAGCTCTGGACCAGATGTTACCGAGGTTTATCGTTCCCAAAGATGAGACTGTTGCGATTGAAACCTCCCCAGAGGCTTGGAACCTAGTAGGACGATATGACGTTGAGGAGGAATCTGGAACTTTAATTCCTTTCCAGAGTGACGCGGTCGGCTTGTTCCAAGACCATTTCGATTGAATATTTTGTATTATGTCAATAAAAATTTGCTTTAAAATGAATTTTAGTTAATTATTATGCATCAATCAATCAAGATAGGAAAAAGTAATCATTAAGAAGAAGAAATGTCCATTTAAGTCGCTTTAAAATGTATTTTTCGGCATTATCAAAAAAAAAATCTATTGCAGTGAAATATCGAAGAATTAAAAATATTTAATAGTAATACAAAACTTCTAAAAAAAATGTAAGAGATTCCATACATTTTTTTTTCGTAATACAAAATATTTTAACGATATTTGTTTGAAATCGGTCTATATTGACAGCTTTTTGATATACAGGGTGTCCCGAAATTCATGCAACAAAATTTAGTCCTAGATTCTTAAGACAAATTTAGGGGACCCTTATTTTTTCTTTTTGCCAACTGGCCCCCTCTTTCGGACTTACAGCCCCCTGAAATCTGCCCCTAAGAAGTCTTTTTTATATCACAAAACCATGTTGTACGAGAATCACTTAATTTGGTACACAGGGGTTTTATGACATGTGGGCTCCCTTGTCTTTGGAACCAGAAAAATTTGTTCGCAAATTTGATTTTTTTTTTAATTATTAGTTAGCTAGAAAGCCATAGAATTTAGAAACTTTTTTGTCTTGATATTTGTTTCGTAAAACGCAAATGGCGATTCACGATATGCATTCGATTACATTTTGACATTTTTCTCGAAAACATTGCGTTTTACGAAAAAAGTATAAAGAGACATGAAGATCTAAATTTAATGGCTCTCTAGTGGACTAATAATTTATAAGAAATTTAAATATGCGACCAAATTTTTTTAGCTCCTAAGACTCTAGGTGTTGTCAAATTCCACGGTTAGCTTCGATTGACAATGTCATATCACATGCTAAAAACACTTACATTTTGAAGTATTTTATATAAGAAACTATTTAAAAATTGTATTCGCTATGATAGACCTACTTCAGATAAAATTTAATATTCTTATAAAGACATAAGGAATTAAATGTCCAAATTTCAAAATACTGTCAAAATTATGAAGATTTTTGTAACAGTGCATCTCCACAGATTCATATAGTTTCATCAATCTAGAGTAAATATTTATACAGGGTGTCCCTGAAAAGGATTGGTAACAGGTCCCATTTTCATATAATTTGAAAACTATTTTTCTTAGAAACTTCAAATTTGCTACACATATCTTTTATATAAGGGCAACGTAAATAAAAAAATTGGTGATAATACATATACAGGATGTTCTTTTTCTAGTGCCCGTGCGCCACTGGCTATTTCGTAATTTTTTTGTTTGTACGCCAGTGAGGCCATAATTTATATTTAAAAAATAAGCACTTTTTTTGCTTTTACATAATTTTAATATCGTTTATGGATTTCTAGTAAAATGGCATTTTTTATACATTAAATATAGGCAAAAATTCCTATTTGTAAACAATAATTTATAACTGCAGCCTCAAAGCAGGGAATATTTATGAAAAAACGTCACATTAAAAAAATTAACTACACATTTTGTCTCAGTATTATCAATCAATAAAATAAAATTCAACACTAATATTTTAAATATTAATAATGTAAGAAAGTAAATATTAACATTTTAAATAAACCTAAATTGATATTTGTAATCACATTAAAATAATATTACAGTAAATGCTCTAAGTGACTTCCTTTTTCTTCAACACATTCAACGCATTAGTTCTTAGAAAATTAAAAATTTTATCCAATAATTGTGCATTACCTCTCATAACATTAATTTCATTTTGTATTCTTTGCCATAATTCGTTTTCTGTATTTACTGAAAAGTTATAAACTGTGGTCCTCAACGCTCCCAAAGGAAATAATTATATGGGTTTAGGTCCGGGGATCGAGGTGGCCATTTTAAAGGGGCATTATTTCCTCTACATATCCACTTATTAGGATAGTAACCTGTAATAACTGGTCTTTTAATACTCTATTAACTAAACTTACAGGTAAAAAAACGTCCGGTTTCCCGAAGGCACCTCTCCGCATTAGCAAATCTTTTGTGATTTGCATTTGGATCTTCGATTAGGAAATCTTTCAGCATATGTTCGAACAGTAGCACAACAATTTTCTTCACAATAACCCAAAACTAATAACATATCAGTTTGTTCAGCAAAAATATAAATTGCAATAAAAAATAAAGTAATAACTAAAATTAAATCACGCCTAGCTTGACACTGAACCTTTTAATTATTGTTATGAATTTGTTTCTTTGTTATATGGTCTTCGTACTAGACTGTTCTAATTATCTTAAACTGATTTTACATTATTTAATGTGCAAAAAATGCTAATTTTACTTGAAATCTATAAACGATATCAAAATTTTGTAAGAGGCAAAAAATCTTCTAAAATAGTGATTATTTTTAAAAATATTAATTCTGTCGTCATGGCGTACACACAAAACAGTACGGCATAGCCTGTGGCGCACAGGTACTAGAAAGAGAACATCCTGGATATGTATTCTCACCAAATTTTATATTTACATTGTCATTATATAAAAATATATGTGTACCAAATTTGAAGTATGTAAGAAAAACAGTTTTCAAATTATTTGAAAAAAACTAGGTTATCGTTCTATATTTAGAAGGCTATATCTCAGTAGGCCTGCACTTTTGCATATAGACTAAATAGTCTTATTTTCATCCAAGGAACCTGTGGTCAAGCGTTGTCCATCTTTTTCAGGGACACCCTATATATTTTTTTAATCTTCAACACCATGTACCATGAAAAACAGTAAATTTTAGTTCAATAAAACTCTTTCATCAAACATCACTCAAGGATCATATTACGACGTCCTTTCATTACTACAACTCACGCATAACGTTCGCTAATCCAGTATTATCTGTCCAATATAACATCAAATCAAAAGTTACTTGAACTGATTTTGTTACGATAAAAAATCCATACGAATTTAAACTATCTAATAGGCCCTAGATCTTCCTCCACTTGACACGTGTCAAGATAGCGCGGGCATAAATAACTCATTACACAAAACAGCATTCAAATGTGAGCTTTATCCAGTGCCTCCCATTGTTAGCGGTGGTCCATTGGACCACTCTCAGATTAAGGGGTGACAAAATCCAAGTCTGCAGCTTTATCTGGTCCCTCCTTGTCTATTCGGGTTGTAAAGCAGCTGAATTATTGTTTCAGTGTGTCACGGCTTTGATATACGGGCCATCAAAAGCGCTGCTAGGTTTTTAGTCCCCCGCCGTTGCGGGGTAAACTACCCCCTTGGAGTATCCCACTTCTGACGGCGCCGTGATATATGCTTCATTAGTTATAGTTATTCAGTTTTAGAGTCTCCTTGTTCCATATTCTTACTTGGTATGTTTCAAGGTTTAACAGGAACAATAACTGATGATGATGATATTACCTCAAGGAAATCGATCTCACTACTGGTAAGTTTATGTAATGCAAAAAAAGAAGACTAACAAAAAATGCTACATTCGTTGACTTGTTCCGTTGTATTGTAATTGATAATACTTAGCGATTCACTTAAATAATCTCCTACGATTTAACTAATTGTAAATGTAAAACAAGGGATCGCAATGGTCAATCTTCTAAACCAGTGGTTCCCAAAGTGTGTGTCGTGATCGTCTGGAGGAGGCATATTTATTAATTCGATTTAACTTTGTTTTTAGAGAATTTAAAGAAACAGAGGTTCTATATTCGAGAATGTGTCATTCTATCATTTTCCAATTCGAGGTTAATTCTCGTATTCATTTTAACAACAGAAAACAGCGAAAATAGTTTTGTACAATATGAAGTTGCAAAACATTAAAAGCATCATATATTAGCTCAGGATAATTCTAAAGTGTTCTAAACTGATAAAATTCTTATTTATTCTTTAACATTATATGTAGGTATACAAGATAAAAAAAATATTTAATTTACATAATTAAAATTTACGTCAATTAGATCTGGAAAATATTCAAGGATGTTTCAAATTAAACAAACTTATTCTGCAATAAGCATAATTTTAATGACATGGTTGTTATGTGCTTACTATTAGGTTTAGAGCTACAGACCTATACAGGGTGATTCAGAACTTCTCCAAAAAAAATTTTGGATGTACAGGGGACTCGTACAAATACAATTTTATAGAGAAAAAATCAAAAAGGGCAGTTCGAAAATGATTTAAAAATACACTTCTACACAACATTGGAAACTGTTCCTCTGTAAATCCTGACCCCGCACAATGCGACCGGCATGGCGGAAAAGTGTGATAAAAACGGACAAAAACTTTCGCAAGGAAAGAAATAAATAGAATTTTATAGTACCTATTTTATATTAGCTTTATTATGTATTAGTTTTAAATAATAAAATAATTTCCCATATCAAATGTTACAACAAATTTTATCCACCGACGTGTAAACACATTTGGGTCCGTGTTACTCAGTTTCTACGAACTAACACAAATGTTCTTGCTTCACCATAAATTAAAACGATATCCGTCAACTCCAAGTTGCTATACAGGCAAGCCGTTTTAACACTAACTACTAAAAAACTATTATAAACACCACAGAAAACAAGTAAACACTAACCCAACGACGATTGTAAAATCGGATTTCAGTATTCGGAGTCTCTGAGGTCACGGGCTCTCCACGCGTATTGCGAATGATGCTAGATACTACAGTTATCCAACTATGTAATGGTTGAATGTACTACAACTTCAATAATTTTTTTTCTCGGAAATTATAAGGATTTTACAATTTTTTTTTAAGATATTGACTCCATTTCTCATGCCCCATCTACTTCCAATTTTTTTTGGATAAGTTGTGAATCACCCTGTATAATATGTGCCTATATTCGTAGAAAATTGTTTGTGCAAGTAAGCCAAAAATATAATAGAATGCTGACATTCACCTTTTGTTAAAACAGGGCGAAAACACAAAGAACAACAAACTACGTACACGACATGTTGTATATAAATATGTGCGATCGAATTTATTAAACAATTGAACAATGTAATTGGTGCAATTTTAGGTAAAATTTCCATTGTTAAATTTTAAAGTGTGGTGAAGTAACGCAAAAAGTTTGGTATCCACTGTCCTAATCACATAAAATTGCAGCAGTCCTAAAATCCTCTAAAGATTATAAATTGCTCCATCACATCAGGCCTCAGTTACATTGCATATTGATGCAAGTTTTCTTCACAAAACTCATAAAAGCGAAGTAGTCAAAATACTACTCCTCTTCATCAAAATTTATTTTGAATCGTTCGAATATCTCTTTTCTTTCCTTTGTCGAGATTGATCAGTTCGTCGTTATTCGGAAATTTCATTTTGGGGTTCAGGAGTCTGTTATATTAGAGCTTTTAGTGCTTGGAAATTCGATCTTACGGCTATATGGGTTACAAATTTCATCGTAGAACAGTTTTAGGGGTAGTTAAAGGGTCTTATAATTTTTCCACGTTAGAATTCGATCCCCAGGGCTATGGAGTTATAAAGTCTACAGTATTCGAATTTGTTTCGCATGGAAATTAGATTCCTACGATTTGGTGTTATAGAATCTCCTCACCCGCCATATTGAATCTGCCATTTTGAATTTCGAAAATGTAATGCTAAACTTGAATTCATCGACATCAACAATCTCAGAATTGTTTATAGCAGAAGCAGCCTGAGGGCTGCAGAATAAGTGTTATAGTGTTTGTAATTTGAAAAATTCATATTTTTTTTATAAAATAACATATAAAAAAACATTGCATTTGTAATTACCGAAAATCTGAAGCACCAGTGGGTATTTAGGTGATGGTAATTTGATTCTTCTATCTTTTTGAGAAATCACATTATCCTACTCAGTTTCCCAATATCGGCCAATACGTCAAACTAATAAATTTACACAAACGATTTCTCAGTGAGGAAAGAAGATATTCGCGACTACTGAAAATGAATTTTGAAGATGAAGAATAGTACTTTCAAATGCCTTAACAAGTTTTGTGTGGAATGTTACCTCATGAACTGAGGTTTCTGCATTTTTAGGTTACAATATCTCATAAATCTGATTAAATTCAGTGCGTCAAATACCTTAGAAAATGTGTAGTCTGGTTTCTGGTTTAAAATTTTTGTCGATCTGTGTTACTGATCGTTGGCTTTTTATTGAAATATTCATTTATAAATTTATCAAAGCTTAACCTGTTTTTACCATTACTATAAAGACTCGGTATTAAAGAATCATAAATGTGGTATTAATATGCATAATCACACTTGAGTTAAGAAATACATCTTATGGATACAATTGGGATATTCATTTTATTAACGAAACAAAGACAATATGAATTATTAACAAAAATTATAAAGATGTCTGTGTGTTAAGGNTGTGTAGATATTTGCATTTGTTAAGGAATAAATTAAAAAAAACTGAAATAATATTTTACATTTAACACTCTGTATCTCTTTAACTATCCACTTTTGGGTAACTTCGGTTAATAGCAATTGAAGAAGTATAACACCACTATCTTTAACCATTTCATCTATTACATATTTCATGTTTTTTGTCTTTTCTTTTTGTACAGTTGCTAATAATTGCACCCTTAACATCATATTATTTTCAATATAGGTATTTACGACTCAGCCATTCCTTTTTTCCTTTCTCCATGCAGATAACAGTACCTTTTCTGTTCGTCGGCTATGGTAAGGCGCATCATCCATGACAGTAACTATACCAGCTTCCATGTGAGGCAAAATAGATGCAAACCATTTTTCGAATACCCCACTGTCCACATCTTCTTGACAACCTCCTGTTCATCGCGACTCGAACACATGTAAACCATTATCCAAAACTCCGCATTCACTTTCGATATGCGTACTTATTAATCGTCATCCTTCCCCAGAGAGTGCCTTTAATCCCATATAAAATCTTTAAAAAAATACTTCTCGTTTGCCGTTGGCATTTAAATTTTGACAAACCTTAAAGACCATATTATGTGCTTCATTTATCCATGTTTTGGAAGATAATAAACTTTCAATTTCGGTATACGACACTGTTATTTTTAATATTCTTTTCGCCTTACTATAATTTTGTTCTTTTCTGTTGGCATACTTTTTCGATTTAGCAACAAAATTCATTTCATGCATAGTAGGCAGGATGACTTTTCAGGGCAGTCTAGGCAAATTGTCGTCTTCTGCGATTACAGTTTGAATGTTTTTAATGTTGGAAGTCCATTTTTAGAATAAAATCCTTTAATCTTTCTACGGATTGTATATTTAACATCACTGTCAATTTCAATTTTTTTCCTGCCACGTATTTCAGTTTGTTGCATTTTTACATTTGCACCACTTTTTAACACACGATAAACACCTCTCACAGACACTTTTGTTAAAGAACTGAACATTTCCACGGCATCACTCACCGACATATCTGGCTATCGTGCTCGAATTCCTTATACAAATTATTTATGATCCAACGTTCGTTATTTGTTAAATATGGTCTTTTACGACTACCCTTATTATCATATTGGCCACTAACGCCCTCGCACGATTCAGTTTTTTATAACATTTATTGTAATTACAAAAGCGTGAAAGTAACAACACATATTTCGTACTTGTACGCCTATGACACGCATTCACAAGAAAAGCTGGAAACAGAAATAGGGTGGGATTTCAAGAAGTCAAATATAGGAACTTTTTCTCTTTTTCGACGAGTATTACCAGTGCTCGAAATTAGTAAAAAAAAATTAAATAGGTGAATAAACTACTAAGAACGAAGCTATCTTTTGAAAAACTTGCTTTTCGTTTAGGTTTTGCACTTCATTGCATTAAAAACAGTGTGCCTTTCCCTTATATTAAAATGTATGTATGTATGTATGTATGTATGTATGTATGTCGGAGGGTGGCACTTAGGCCTTATTAGGCCCCTTGTACACCCTCCTTCACTACTCGAGTACTTTTCTTCAAACCATCTTATTTACTACTCGGATGGCTTGGTGGAAAAGTCTCGTACAGTTTATGTATGATAGCATGGTCTTGAGTTACAGAGATTTCTTGCTTTGTTCTGATTACCATTTATCGGGGACCACACGCGTGCGGAAAATGTTGGGCGACCCAGGTCTCTTGGTAGGCTGCCACAGCCACGTCCCCGAGCCTGCCTTAGGTCACCCATCCAAATTCCAGCCCACGTCCGTGATGCTTGACTCGGCAGATCGAAATCCGCCGGCCAATACACCCGGCTAGGCGGTTCCCATATTAAAATGTATATCCTTGCTATAAAATACATAATCTTTTTCAGAAATATCCACTCTCAAACCTCCAAGATGGACGACCATCACGAAAATATTCTAAACCTGAAAACTGATGATGATCCTATAGTGTCCGAGATATCGATACGTTCCATAGACCACACGACCAAGAACAGAGCTCTGGACCAGATGTTACCGAGGTTTATCGTTCCCAAAGATGAGACTGTTGCGATTGAAACCTCCCCAGAGGCTTGGAACCTAGTAGGACGATATGACGTTGAGGAGGAATCTGGAACTTTAATTCCTTTCCAGAGTGACGCGGTCGGCTTGTTCCAAGACCATTTCGATTGAATATTTTGTATTATGTCAATAAAAATTTGCTTTAAAATGAATTTTAGTTAATTATTATGCATCAATCAATCAAGATAGGAAAAAGTAATCATTAAGAAGAAGAAATGTCCATTTAAGTCGCTTTAAAATGTATTTTTCGGCATTATCAAAAAAAAAATCTATTGCAGTGAAATATCGAAGAATTAAAAATATTTAATAGTAATACAAAACTTCTAAAAAAAATGTAAGAGATTCCATACATTTTTTTTTCGTAATACAAAATATTTTAACGATATTTGTTTGAAATCGGTCTATATTGACAGCTTTTTGATATACAGGGTGTCCCGAAATTCATGCAACAAAATTTAGTCCTAGATTCTTAAGACAAATTTAGGGGACCCTTATTTTTTCTTTTTGCCAACTGGCCCCCTCTTTCGGACTTACAGCCCCCTGAAATCTGCCCCTAAGAAGTCTTTTTTATATCACAAAACCATGTTGTACGAGAATCACTTAATTTGGTACACAGGGGTTTTATGACATGTGGGCTCCCTTGTCTTTGGAACCAGAAAAATTTGTTCGCAAATTTGATTTTTTTTTTAATTATTAGTTAGCTAGAAAGCCATAGAATTTAGAAACTTTTTTGTCTTGATATTTGTTTCGTAAAACGCAAATGGCGATTCACGATATGCATTCGATTACATTTTGACATTTTTCTCGAAAACATTGCGTTTTACGAAAAAAGTATAAAGAGACATGAAGATCTAAATTTAATGGCTCTCTAGTGGACTAATAATTTATAAGAAATTTAAATATGCGACCAAATTTTTTTAGCTCCTAAGACTCTAGGTGTTGTCAAATTCCACGGTTAGCTTCGATTGACAATGTCATATCACATGCTAAAAACACTTACATTTTGAAGTATTTTATATAAGAAACTATTTAAAAATTATATTCTCTATGACAGACCTACTTCAGTTAAAATTTAATATGCTTATTTTAGAAACGACATAAGGATTTAAATGTACTTATCCAAATTTCAAAATACTGAATAGAGTCAAAATGATGGAGATCTTTGTAACAGTATCTCCACAGATTCATACAGTTTCATCAATCTAGAGTAAATAATTATATCTACAGGGTGTCCCTGAAAAGGATGGGCGCTTGGTCACAGGTTCCTTTTTCATATAATTTGAAAACTATTTTTCTTAGAAACTTCAAATTTGGTACAAATATTTTTTTATATAAGGGCAACGTAAATAAAAAATTTGGTGATAATACATATACAGGATGGTCTTTTTCTAGTGCCCGTGCGCCACTGGCTATCCCGTAAATTTTTTGTGTGTATGCCAGTAAGGCCAGAATTTATATTTTAAAAAATAAGCACATTTAGAAGATTTTTTTGCTCTTACATAATTTTGATATTCTTTTTGGATTTCTAGTAAAATGGCATTTTTTATACATTAAATATAGGCAAAAATTCCTATTTGTAAACAATAATTTACAACTGCAGCCTCACAGCAGAGAATATTTTTGAAAAAACGTCACATTAAAAAAATTAACATTTTGTCTTAGTAATCAATAAAATAAAAAATCAACACTAGTATTTTAAATAAACAATATCAACTAATAATGTAAGAAAGTCAATATTAGGTAACATTATAAATAAACCTAAACTGATATTTGTAAACACATTAAAATAATATTACACTAAATGCTCAAAGTGACTTCCTTGTTCTTCAACACCAGCATTAGTTCTTAGAAAATTAAAATGAATTTTATCCAATAATTGTGCATTACCTTTCATAACATCAATTTCATTTTGTATTCTTTGCCATAATTCATTTTCTGTATTTACTGAAGAAAAGTTATAAACTGTGGTTCTCAACGCTCCCCAAAGGAAATAATTACATGGGTTTAGCTCCGGGGATCGAGGTGGCCATTTTAAAGGGGCATTATTTCCTCTACCTATCCACCTGTTAAGATAGTAACCTGTAATAACTGGTCTTTTAATACTCTATTAACTGAACTTTTTGAAAGCCAACCTCTGCCGCTAAACGCCTTGTATTTGTATATTTGATTGCGGAATTTCTTCGATCCTTTCCAAAATTAGTTCTTCCAGCTGAATAGTTCCGGCCGTACGTTAGCCACGATTTAATGTTACAGGTAAAAAACGTCCGGTTTCCCGAAGGCACCTCTCTGCATTAGCAAATGTTTTGTGATTTGGAATTCTTCGATTAGGAAATCTTCCAACATATGTCCGAACAGTAGCACAACAATTTTCTTCACAATAACCCAAAACTAATAACATATCAGTTTGTTCAGCAAAAGTATAAATTGCAATAAAAAATAAAGTAAGCTAAAATTAAATCACGCCTAGCTTGACACTGAACCTTTTAATTATTGTTATGAATTTGTTTCTTTGTTATATGGTACTTCGTACTAGACTGTTCTAATTATCTTAAACTGATTTTAAATTATTTAATGTGCAAAAAATGCTAATTTTACTTGAAATCTATAAACGATATCAAAATTTTGTAAGAGGCAAAAAATCTTCTAAAATAGTGGTTATTTTTAAAAATATTAATTCTGTCGTCATGACGTACACACAAAACAGTACGGCATAGCCTGTGGCGCACAGGTACTAGAAAGAGAACATCCTGTATATGTATTCTCACCAAATTTTATATTTACATTGTCATTATATAAAAATATATGTGTACCAAATTTGAAGTATCTAAGAAAAACAGTTTTCAAATTATTTGAAAAAAAACTAGGTTATCGTTCTATATTTAGAAGGCTATATCTCAGTAGGCGTGCACTTTTGCATATAGGCTAAATCAGGGATGCACAGACTTATAGGGAACAGGGGCCACTCGGGAAAAATATAAGCCAACTACGGGCCACTACAAACAATATTTTATTAACACAAAAAGCCAAGAACGGGCCACTACAAACAATATTTTATTAACACAAAAATTTTTATTTTTAAAAAGTATGAAATACAATGATAAAAATAAAATAACCTTCAAAAATGTTTGCTGTAATAATTATGTAATCATTACAATGTAATATTTCATGTTTTATTATTTTGATGCATGACATTGCATTGAACTAACAAGTTTTTTTATATTTGGCTCCACATTACTTGTAGCCACACGTATAATTGCTTCAAAATTTTCATTTGCCAGACGGTTTCGGTTTTTCGTTTTGTTAAGTTTCATCACTGAAAACGTTTGTTCACAAATATACGTCGATCCAAATGAGCTTGCGCATTTCAATGCATTTATTCGCAACTCTTTATAAGCGTTTTTATCAACGCAATGGTAGAAGTTCATTAAATTTGTTTCTTAAATTATCATCATTTTGCATGTCTATTAATTCCANTTAAATATGCGACCAAATTTTTTTAGCTCCTAAGACTCTAGGTGTTGTCAAATTCCACGGTTAGCTTCGATTGACAATGTCATATCACATGCTAAAAACACTTACATTTTGAAGTATTTTATATAAGAAACTATTTAAAAATTGTATTCGCTATGATAGACCTACTTCAGATAAAATTTAATATTCTTATAAAGACATAAGGAATTAAATGTCCAAATTTCAAAATACTGTCAAAATTATGAAGATTTTTGTAACAGTGCATCTCCACAGATTCATATAGTTTCATCAATCTAGAGTAAATATTTATACAGGGTGTCCCTGAAAAGGATTGGTAACAGGTCCCATTTTCATATAATTTGAAAACTATTTTTCTTAGAAACTTCAAATTTGCTACACATATCTTTTATATAAGGGCAACGTAAATAAAAAAATTGGTGATAATACATATACAGGATGTTCTTTTTCTAGTGCCCGTGCGCCACTGGCTATTTCGTAATTTTTTTGTTTGTACGCCAGTGAGGCCATAATTTATATTTAAAAAATAAGCACTTTTTTTGCTTTTACATAATTTTAATATCGTTTATGGATTTCTAGTAAAATGGCATTTTTTATACATTAAATATAGGCAAAAATTCCTATTTGTAAACAATAATTTATAACTGCAGCCTCAAAGCAGGGAATATTTATGAAAAAACGTCACATTAAAAAAATTAACTACACATTTTGTCTCAGTATTATCAATCAATAAAATAAAATTCAACACTAATATTTTAAATATTAATAATGTAAGAAAGTAAATATTAACATTTTAAATAAACCTAAATTGATATTTGTAATCACATTAAAATAATATTACAGTAAATGCTCTAAGTGACTTCCTTTTTCTTCAACACATTCAACGCATTAGTTCTTAGAAAATTAAAAATTTTATCCAATAATTGTGCATTACCTCTCATAACATTAATTTCATTTTGTATTCTTTGCCATAATTCGTTTTCTGTATTTACTGAAAAGTTATAAACTGTGGTCCTCAACGCTCCCAAAGGAAATAATTATATGGGTTTAGGTCCGGGGATCGAGGTGGCCATTTTAAAGGGGCATTATTTCCTCTACATATCCACTTATTAGGATAGTAACCTGTAATAACTGGTCTTTTAATACTCTATTAACTAAACTTACAGGTAAAAAAACGTCCGGTTTCCCGAAGGCACCTCTCCGCATTAGCAAATCTTTTGTGATTTGCATTTGGATCTTCGATTAGGAAATCTTTCAGCATATGTTCGAACAGTAGCACAACAATTTTCTTCACAATAACCCAAAACTAATAACATATCAGTTTGTTCAGCAAAAATATAAATTGCAATAAAAAATAAAGTAATAACTAAAATTAAATCACGCCTAGCTTGACACTGAACCTTTTAATTATTGTTATGAATTTGTTTCTTTGTTATATGGTCTTCGTACTAGACTGTTCTAATTATCTTAAACTGATTTTACATTATTTAATGTGCAAAAAATGCTAATTTTACTTGAAATCTATAAACGATATCAAAATTTTGTAAGAGGCAAAAAATCTTCTAAAATAGTGATTATTTTTAAAAATATTAATTCTGTCGTCATGGCGTACACACAAAACA